GGGGGTCGAGTGCAGGAGAAGCTGTGGGCGGGGGTCGAGTGCAGGAGTAGCTGTGGGCGGGGGTCGAGTGCAGAAGCGGTCTCAGATTTTTTGTCCTCATAAATATAATTTGGTTTTTAGACTACATGCCCTAGTTCGGGTTTGGAAAATGAAATCTCCATAGTATATACACAGTCATGAATTCTGCCCTTTCTCCCTTTACCTTCGGAGGGATTTCTTACTCCAGAGTTTCGTTCATCAGATATTATTGAGCATTTACTGTATACAGGGCTAGTGTAAGCGTGACCACAAGGATTGATATCTGCTCTTGATCCAAGACTTCCTTTGTTTTGACTCTCCATGGCATCTCAGTAGTGATCAGGTGGATCTCCCAGGTAGGACTGAGAGGTTAAACTTCTAAAGAGGTTTTCTGAAGTTTTTAAGGAGAAGCAGGGCTGGGAGTGTGGTTTGAACAGCCCGTGAGGACATTTAATGTGAACACTTGATCATGATTTTGGTGTGTGGCCTTTATACAACTCGGATGAGGACTCTGCTGTACAATGTAGATGACACAGAGCTCTGTGGGACCACTACACATACTCCCCTAGGTCCAGAGTCGGTGCAGAGTGAACGCGTGCCCCAGTTAGATAAAAATCAGGTAACTTATCCCAGTTGTTTCTCTCCACTTCTTTCAAACTCATCATGTAACATTGTGGTGTAGGCTGTTTCTCACTGCTGTTCAGACCCGCCTTCATAAACACGTAGCTTTTGGAGATGCACAGACATATTTATTAGTGCTTGGGCACAAACTATATTCTTAAAATTGCATAGCTTTATTGTGCCTTTATTTCCCTTTTTCTATCCAAGGGGAGGAGCTGGGAATAGCCATGAGTAGTGGTCTGGGTGGGATTTTCCTCCACGCATCCTCATTAGCATCCTCAGAGTTCTTGCGTCTGTAGCAGATAGACTCAGGCTCATCTGAGCATGAACCATAATAATGGAACCACGCTGTGGCTTTTTAAAGAACACAGTTAATTTTACTTACAATGATATCCTGAAATCAAAATGGATTTAAAGTTGCACAGTTATTCTTATCAATAATAAAGAAAGCTGACTCTGGAGCTTGTTTCTGGAGGTGTGTAAGCCCATTTCAGTTGTGAGGCCCATGTTTTCTGTGTGTATTTGTGGCTAGGTTGGGATGTAAATTAGAATTGGATTCTTTTCCTGAACTGTTCCAGTTCCCTTTGGCCATGTGGAAAATGTGGGTCAGAAGCAATGTGCTCACATGACCAGCCTGCAAAACAGAGCCAGCCTTAAAACTGGCCTGCCGGAACCAGCCTGGAAACTTGGAGAAACTTCACTGGTGGGGAGAGGGTCTGCGGCATTGGAACAAGCCAGCCATTCATCTCATGCCCTTCACCTGGAGTAGATCAAGGGCCTGGAGGTCATATGTATTTTACAATATTCATTCCCTCTCATTTTCTTTAATTTGAAACTCTTGGGTATAATGTAATAAGAAATTTTAACCGAAATTTAATCTGGACAGGACCTCACATAGAGTTTGGTAACCTAAAAAAAAAAAAAATAACTACCCTCTATTAGGCCTTCAAAGCTATACCACTTAAAATAATCAACTTTATGTTTTCCACAAAGATGGATTTTGTGCCCTGTTGGAAAGTGACCCTGTACCAGGTACATCCTTCTCCGGTTCCTTTGTTAATAAGCTGGAGGATCTAGTGAGATCTGAATTCAGTGTAC